AAAAAAAAAAATAGAGATTCAAGCGATAGAGATTTATTATAAAATTGAATCGAACTGTATGTGTTTAATTATATTTTGTAGTTTAATTCATTTATTAGCTTACTATTACCATTGAGAGGAGGAAGATACGGTTAGGAGATAGGAAAAGAAAAAGAACCATCTGAAGAAGGAGGAACACCAGGAACAGAAGGATCAGGAGGACAACATTCACAAGTTCCCTCTAAGAGTGCTGGTAGTCCATTACTGCAAGTCGTGATTATCCCATCGGATGGTATTGGTTGACATCCCGTTGAACATTCCAGCGGAAGTTGCGAATTTATTGAATGTACACACATTAATAAAACACAACATAAGGGAAATATTACAAAATTTTGGGACTTCATTTAAATACTTGCTTCTTGAAAATTAATAGTCTAAAATCACTGCCTGTTTGTCACCTTGAAACTTTATGAATACGGTTGAGTTGAACAGTCGTCTGTCACCACTTTGTATTACCGTTTATTATAATGCTGTTTTACACAGATTTTAACTTTTATATAGTACTAAAAAACCATAAATTAATTGTTATAAATTATGGTTTTGTTGAAGGTTTGCATAAAGAATAAGTATTTAATATTTTACGAAACGTTGACATTTTTTACCATATGAACAAATACTATTATGAGAGATTTATTTATTACGAACATAAACAGGATACAGTAACTCATAATTTATTATCGCAGGCCTTATAAAAAGCATTCAATTTTGTGGACATAGATTTTAAATTATAATTATTTTATTTATAATATTTGCGAAACACATTACTAGAATAATACAAATTTAATTTGTATTTGTATTTGTGAATTTTTCACTGTAGTTTAAGCCGATATTTTAGATTAATTACATTTTTCATAAATTTTAAGAAGTATCCTGTCGTTATACCAACGTTGGTATTTTATAGGAGAACATTTATTAAAAATTCTATAACTAAACTGTGTATTTCTTTAAATAAATTATGATTTCAATATTTTTGATTTTAATCTACCCGTTAACGAGATTTTCCACGTTTAAGTTTAGGCACCCATGTGTTGTTGTATTTTTGAGCAGTTAGAAAATATTATACGGAGTGTAACTAGACTATGTATTATAGGGGAATATGGATGATTAGAAGGATGTCCTAGGATTATGGAGTAAAGTGCAGTAACTCTTATGGATAATTTAATGTATATCTGAAAGCAATTTTAAACCATTGGTTATGAAAAAAAGATTTTGAGAGCAGTTCAGTTAGTTCAGTTGATAGCAAAGCTTTGTCAACTATATATATATATATATATACACGAATTTGAAATAACATAATCGGTAATATGGCACATTGCTATAAATATTTACCGCTTAACAAACGGTTCCCAACCTTTTCGAGACTATTACCCATAAAAAAGGTCAGCTATTAACAAATATCACCCAAACAAAGTTTTTTAAAAAAAACTTTTGCAACGGTAGTACACATACTGATGCGGATTTAATAATATTAGATAAAAAATTAATTAGGTTAGGTAGTGATTATCCTCAGGTTGGTAACCACCGGTTCAACTTACGCTTCTCTTTCGGTTATTTTTTAATTATTTTGAAAAATGACCTCCTCAATGAAACAATTAGGTACAATTACCTTTTAGAAATGGTGCTACACTGGATACTGAGTTTCAAAACGTCGTGAAGAAAAGATGATTTCTTCTTTTAGATTCTGAATAGTGCAAAGAAGCTTATTTTTTTTATAAAGATCATAATTTTCTTCTTTTATCTGTGCACAACTTTTCTTTTGAGTTCTGAGCATTTAAGAGGCGCTTGACATTTTTAAATTTTATTTTTAATTTTATTTGCTAGGTATTATATGTATTAAACTGTGAACTGAAAATCTCCCGTTTTTCGAAGGAAAAACATCATAAAAGGAATTATGTATTTACTATTACAACAATTGTGATAGGTAAGTATAATTTTAGCTTGAATGGATTTTAGCAAAGATAAATTTGACATAAACTTACGAAAAAAAAAAAACAATTGTTGTATTATACATTTGTATATGTTGATATATTTTTAACCAAACAGTTAATATTATTATTTTTAATTAAATCACAAAAAATAATCCATATGTCTAATCATATATAAATTAAATATGCTATATTTTATAACAAAACAAATTAGTCGTATAGTATAATAACATATCATAGTAAATTTATTGATTCAAGAATGTGTTTGTAATCGTAATCGAAATAAGTAAAAGCAATTTGTTGGATAAAGGAGATTTAGTGATAGAGATTTATTATAAAATTTAAATAGAGTTAATTGATAATGTTTAATTATATTTTCGTCATTTCAATCGTTTATTAATAAATTATTTTCCACTATTGGGCGGAGAAGAATCCGCTTAGAAAGGAGGAAGAGCTGGTCCAGGATTAAGAGCGGGAGAAAAACCAGATTCACGACTTAGAGGAGGAGGACGACAACATTCACAATGTTCACCATCTGGAGTTGCTGGTTGTCCATTATCGCAAATTGAGGGCGACTTCTTGTATACTTTTGGAAAACAGCCTGGTGAACAAGGCGGTGTTTGTTGCGAATTTATTGAAAGTACACAGAATAATAAAACATAACATAAGAGAAGTATAACAAAATTTTGGGACTTCATTCAGACACTTGCTTCTTAAACAGTAATAGTCTAAAATCACTGCCTGTTTGTCATTTTGAAACTTTATGAATACGGTTGAGTTGAACAGTCGTCTGTCAACACTTCAAATTACCGTTTATTATATTGCTGTTTTACACAGACTTCAACTCTTAATATAGTACTAAAAAACCATCAATTAATCGTTATAAATAATGGTTTTGTTGAAGATTTACATAGAGAAGTAAGTATTCAATATTTTACGAAACGTTGACATTTTTTACTATAAAAACAAATAAAATTATGGGAGATTTATTTATTACGAACATAAACAGGATACAGTAACTCATAATTTATTATCGCCAGCACTATAAAAAGCATTCAATTTTGTGGACATAGATTTTAAATTATAATTATTTTATTTATAAAATTTACTAAACACATTAATGGTATAATACAAATTTAATTTGTACTTGTATTTGTGAATTTTTCACTGTAGTTTAAGCCGATATTTTAGATTAAATTCATTTTTCATACATTTTAAGTAGTATCCTGTCGTTATACCATCTTTAGTGTTTTATGAAGAACATTTATTAAAAATTCTATAACTAAACTGTGTATTTCTTTAAATAAATTTTGATTTCAATATTTTTGATTTTCATCTACCCGTTAACGAGACATTCAACGTTTAAGTTTAGGCACCCATGTGTTGTTGTCAACGGGTGAATAGGTTGTTGTGTTTTTGAGCAGTTAAAATATATTATATTGAGTGTAACTAGACTATTTGACATATCTACATGTGTGTGGGCGACTGTTGCAGGTGAGAATTTGGGAAGATAGAGGGGAAATTTAATGTATATCTAAACGCGTAAAACGGTAACTGTTTCATCCCCAAAAAGTCTGATGATATATTTTGTGAGAATATGGATGATTAGAAAGTTGTCCTAGGATAATGGAGTCGAGTGCAGTCACTGTTATAGATAATTTAATGTGTATATGAAAGCAATGTTAAACCATTGCTTATGAGAAAAAGATTTTGAGAGCAGTAACAGAACTGCTCTCAGTTTAGTTGATAGCGAAGCTTTGTCAACTATATATATACACGAATTTGAAATAACATAATCGGTAATATGGCACATAGCTATAAATATATACCGTTTAAACAAACGGTTCCCAACCTTTTCGAAACTATGACCCATAAAATATGATAGATATTGACAAATATCACCCGAACAATGTTTTTTAAGAAAAACCTGTTCAACTGTAGTACACATTGATACAGATTCAATAATATTAGATATAAAAATTACATAAAATAAAAAAATAAATTATTTAGGTTAGGTAGTGATTAATCCCAGGTTTGGAACCACCGGTTCAACCTATGCTTCTCTTTCGGTTATTTTTAATTATTTTGCAAAATGACCTCCTCAATGCAACAATTAGATACAATTACCTTTTAGAAAAGGTGTTACACTGGATACTGAGTATCAAAATGTCGTGAAGAAAAGATGATTTCTTCATTTAGATTGTGAATAGTGCGAAGAACCTTATGGTTTTTATAAAGATAATAATTTTCTTCTATTATCTATGCACAACTTTTCCTTTGAGTTCTGTGATTTTAAGAGGCGCTTGACAGTTTTAAATTTTATTTGCTAAGTATTATATGTATTAACCCGTGAACTAAATATCTCCCATTTTTCGAAGGAAAAACATCATAGCATGAATTATGTATTTACTATTACAACAATTGTGATAGGTAAGTATAATTTTAGCTTGAATGGATTTTAGCAAAGATAAATTTGACATAAACTTACGAAAAAAAAAAGAACAATAGTTGTATTATATATTTGTATATGTTGATATATTTTTAACCAAACAGTGAATATTATAATTTTAAATAAATCATAAAAAAAAAGCATATGTCTAATCATACATAAATTAAATATACTACATTTTATAACAAAACAAATTAGTCGTATAGTATAATAACATAACATAGTAAATTTATTGATTTAGGAATGCGTTTGTAATCGTAATCAAGCCAAGGAAAAGAAATTCGTTGCCTAAAGAAATTCATGTGATAGAGATTTATTATAAAATTTAAATAGAGTTAATGGATAATGTTTAATTATATTTTCGTCAATTCAATCGTTTATTAATAATTTAGTATTTACTATTGGGCGGAGAAGAATACGCTTAGAAAGGAGGAGGATCTCGTCCAGGAGGAAGATCGGGAGAAGGACCAGTTTGAGGATAAAGAGGAGGAGGAGGGCAACATTCACAAAATTCACCTTCTGGAGTTGCTGGTTGTCCATTACTGCAAATTGAGGGCGTCTCCGTGATCAGTTTTGGAAAACAGCCTGGTGAACAAGGCGGTGCTTGTTGCGAATTTATTGAGAGTACACAGAATAATAAAACACAAAATAAGGGAAATATTACAAAATTTTGGGACTTCATTTAAAGACTTGCCTCTTGAAAATTAATAGTCTAAAATCACTGCCTGTTTGTCACTTTGAAACTTTATGAATACGGTTTAGTTGAACAGTCGTCTGTCACCACTTCGAATATCCGTTTATTATAATGCTGTTGTACGCAGTTTTTAACTTTTATATTGTACTTAAAAACCATAAATAATAGTTATAAATTATGTTTTTTTGACGGTTTGCATAAAGAAGTAAGTAATTAATATTTTACGAATGGTTGACTTTTTTTACCATATACACAAACACGATAATGAGACATTTATTTATTACGAACATAAACAGAATACAGTAACTAATAATTTATTATCGCCGGCACTATAAAAAGCATTCAATTTTGTGGACATTGATTTTAAATTATAATTATTTTATTTATAATATTTGCGAAACACATTAATAGAATAATACAAATTTAATTTGTAATTGTATTTGTGAATTTTTCACTGTAGTTTAAGCCGATATTTTAGATTAATTACATTTTTCATACATTTTAAGAAGTATCCTGTCGTTATACCATCTCTGGTGTTTTATAGGAGAACATTTATTAAAAATTCTATAACTAAACTGTGTATTTCTTAAAATAAATTTTGATTTCAATATTTTTGATTTTCATCTACCCGTTAACGAGATTTTCCACGTTTAAGTTTAGGCACCCATGTGTTGTTGTCAACGGGTGAATAGGTTGCTGTATTTTTGAGCAGTTAAAAAATATTATACGGAGTGTAACTAGACTATTTGAAATATTTACATGTGTGTGGGCGACTGTTGCAGGTGAGAATTTGGGAAGATAGAGGGGAAATTTAATGTATATCTAAACGCGTAAAACGGTAACTGTTTCATCCTTAAAAGTTATGATTATGAATTATATGAGAATATGGATGATTAGAAAGATGTCCTATGATAATGGAGTTGAGTGCAGTCACTGTTATAGATAATTTTATGTACTCGTATATTTGAAAGCAATGTTAAACCGTTGCTTATGAAAAAAATATTTTGAGAGCAGTTCAGTTGATAGCGAAACTTTGTCAACTATACATATATTTATATGTCTTTTCTTAGTAAATTAATTGAATTTACTTTATATATTTTCTCCCATAATATTTGCTTTATGTTGTACCGTTTTTCCGTTATTTTATCTGGCTTCTCTTATTTGTTGGAAAATTACTGAGAAAATTGAAAAATGACCTGCCTAATGTACCTTGCTAGTGAAATTTTTTTAAAAGACATTGTTTTAATTATAAGTTGGACCAAAATTGGTATTTCAAAAGTTATGTACAAAAAAAACCCCTTAATATATTTTCCTACTGATCCGAACAAGATTCCCGACCTGCTTGACTTCTTCATTATGAAAGGTATTTCTTCTAATTTTATCGAAGTAATAGAACTTACAGAATTAACGTCAGATCACATACCAGTGCTTCTCATGTTTAGTTTTAATGTTATACATAAACAACGAAAGATGTTGCTAACCAACAAGAAAACAGATTGGGACATCTTTAAAGCGAATCTAGACGAGACGTTAACGCTCTCAGTAAGACTAAGAACACCTATTGAAATTGATAGCACTGTTGAACAACTGACTAATAACATCGTAAAAGCTGCGAAAGTGGCCACACCCATAATACCAACAGGTGAAAATCGCGAGACTACCTACCCAATGGATATAAAAAATCTAGTTCAACAAATACGCCGAGCGAGAAGAACATAGCATAATAGACGACATCCAACAGATAAAACTGAATGGAACCGTGTAAGCAAAATTCTTTATGACAAAATTAAAGAGATGAAAAACGTTACTTTCAAATCATACGTATGTGGTCTCTTTGCAACGGATAATACCGATTATTCGTTATGGAAAGCCACAAGACATATGAAGAGACCTCGTGTTCAGGTACCACCCATCCGCAAAGAAGATGGCACCTGGGCTCGCAGTGAACAAGAAAAAGCAGAAATATACGCTCGACATCTTGAACGCGTATTTCTACCAAACGCCATAGACTCTGAGCTTGACATTGTACAATGTCCGCAGCTTAGTACAACACGTAAAAAGATTAAAAATTTCACTCCATTAGAAGTTGCTAAAGTAATAGATGACAGTTTAAACCCCAAAAAAGCACCAGGCTATGATGAAATAAGTCCAAAAATACTTAAAGAGCTTCCTAAGAAGGCCATCATTCATCTTACGCACATATACAATGCTATTTTGCGTATGGAATACATTCCAGAACAATGGAAACGGGCACAAGTCATTATGTTGCTCAAACCAGGAAAACCACCAGAAGATGTCACATCTTACCGTCCCATATCCCTCCTTCCGAGTTTGTCTAAACTCTTAGAGAAACTTCTACTTAAACGTCTAAAACCAATTATAGAAGAAAAACATCTTATACCGGACCATCAGTTCGGATTCCGTAACAAACATTCGACAATCGATCAAGTCTATCGCGTTACCAACGTGATAAGTAAAGCCCTTGAAGAAAAAGATTACTGCTGTGGAGTGTTCCTTCACGTAGCTCATGCTTTTGACAAAGTCTGGCACAAAGGATTCCTCATCAAACTACGTGAACAACTGCCAAATACCTGGTGTGCACTTCTTGAATCATACTTAACCGACCGTCACTTCCGAGTCATACACGAAGAAGCAGTAACCGAATGGAAAAATATATTACCTGGAGTACCACAAGGTAGTGTCTTAGGACCTATTTTTTACCTACTTTACACAGCTGATATACCAAACAATGATAACAATGACACCGTAACGATAGCTATGTTTGTCGATGATACGGCAATTTTGTCGACAAGTAAGAATCAGCTGACAGTAACTGACAACTTACAAGCATCAATTAATAACATTTTTGCCTGGACGAGACGTTGGAAAATTAAGATTAATGACGATTCCAATTTTGCTGAATCAAACTTTAATCCCACAAAAAGATTCAGCAATATATCTTGGAATGCATCTTGACTCTCGTTTAAACTGGAAACATCATGTCCGTCAGAAAAAAATACAGATTAAAGAAAAAATGCGAAAGCTCTATTGGTTAGTTGGACCCCACTCTGAGTTAACTATAGAAAACAAACGTCTACTATATGTAGCTATTATAAAACCAATTTGGACCTATGGAATTCAACTGTGGGGTTGTGCTAGTAAGTCTAACATTGATATAATACAACGTTGCCAAAACATCGCTCTTCGGACTATCACTGCAGCCTACCGGTTTGAAAGAAACGATGCCATTCACCGCGATATGATGCTGCCTACAATAGCAGAAGAAATCCAAAAGTTTGCTCGTAAACACGAGAGGAGATTAGAGGACCATATCAACCCAATGGCCATCCAACTGTTAGACAACTCCAAAGACATTAGATGCCTTAAGCGTCTGAAACCATATAACTTAGTTTAAGTGTTTAAATTAAGTACAGGAGCCACTTAATTGGAACTGTGACTTAATCAATGTGTAATGTATATATATTATCATCTAGTATGTAAGATATATCCTGTTAAACATATTTATAAAGACCATCAGGTCATTTAAATAATAAAGCCCCAGGGCATTTAAAAAAAAAAAAATATATATTTTAACATATACTTGCATTTCTTTATTTTCTGGTTTCTTTCGGTTTTTCAAATTTGATTGGAATACTCTTGAAAGAATCAAAAAATAACCTCTTTAATTTACCTCTCTACATCGATATTCTTTTACAAAATGTGATACTCTTAGATATCTATCAAGTCTTTTGTTAGAAAAAATGTTAACATATCAAAAATAAATAAATAAATATGTTTGTAAAACCATGAGCTTCTTCGCTCCACTCAGAATTTTAAATCACATCATTTCAATTTATATATTTTAATTCAAACGTGTATATCTATATATGAAAAAAAGATTTTGAGAGCAGTTCAGTTGATAGCGAAGCTTTGTCAACTATATATATATATATATATACGTGTCTTTTTTTAGTAAATTAATTAAATGGACTTTATATATTTTGTCCCATAATATTTGTTTTATGTTGTACCGTTTTTCCCGGTTTTTCTTTGTTTTATCTGGTTTCTCTTATTTGCTGGAAAAATTACTGAGAAAATTGAAAAATGACCTGTCTAAAGTACCTTGCTAGTGAAATTTTCTTTTAAAAACATTGCTTTAATTATAAGTTTAATAACGTTATTCAAACACACAGTGTCGCGTAATTTAATAAATACAGAGACCAGGCACCGCCGTGTGCGGTGACCTTTGGATAGTAGATAACACCGTCATCATGCCCTCTAATCAAGCAACTTCTGATCGTACCGTACATGCAATTAAAATCAAAAATAATCAAACTATTAAAACTAACTAAAAGAATTCAACAAACGAAAATAAACGTAGTTTATAGACCACTTCTTCTCCATCACAATCACCCTCTGCCGTAAACATAAAGAAATCTAAATCATTTGTCACGCCAAACCGCTTCTCTATTCTTGCTACCGAACAATCTACTATCGACAATAATAATGATAATGATAACACTGTCGACCCAATAGAAACTTCAAGTCAGTAGCAATCGAATGCTGCCAATCCATCACCAAATACTATTCCTCCTCCACCCATATTTATTAAAGGTGTTCTCGACATCATTGGATTAAGAATTGATATTAAGGACATCATTGGACCAGACAGCTTCTCGTGCAAACCAAATTCAACACACCAATTAAACAACTCATCTGGTGACGCACAACTAGGAAATAAACTGGCAGTTACAAGTGTCGCGTTCGATATTATAACGTCCGACATTTCATTAGTATATTGTCAACGGTATAACATTGTAGGCGATAATATTTATTGCAATATAGAACGGTGAAATATCATATTGACGTGTCGGCGTGTTGCATTAAATTTCCAAACGACGATATTAACGAACAATTAACATTGCAGCCAGAATAATTATGTCTACAGCATTAGCAACAATTGTAATAGGTAATCATTGGTTTATCCCGGATAGAGTTTAGCTTAGAAAAAACAACAATTATATATATTTATGTATGTTTACATATTAATATATTGTGATAACGTAATGATGAAAAATTATGATAATGTATTATATGAGAATATGTATGACTAGAAAAATGTTCATGTAAGTCATATATTCAAAAAAATGTTTCTTGTGGAAAATATAACTGAAACATGCAATTCTCGAAGACTCCGTATGTATATACAGTGTGTCCTACGATGATCTCCCACTTGAATTAATAACTTTAGTTCCATTTAATATACATTGTTTTGCTGTTGGAGCAATATAATTGGTAGAAAATATAAAACGTGGACATTTTAGTTTTAATTTTTTTCCTTTTTCCGGTTTTCAAATTTTCGTGATGACTATACTGAGAAAATTAAAAAAAATTCTTTATTTTTGAGCAACAGATCTAAAATGAAATAAAAAAAAATAGGTCTTTAAGCATCTTTTGATTAAATTAATATTACTAGTAAAAGTTATGATAAGTAATGAGAACAATAACGCCGCATCGTGCCGTAAAAATTTGCCGTTTTTTCTATAATTTCGTTTTTAGTTTTCCCCATAATATTTATGATTCTTTGGGATACTAAAGAATGCTTTTTCAAATGCAACAACTTTGTTCAAAATAAAACAAACAATTGTTTTGTCATTTTTTATATTGGAACAATTTTCTGTTATAAATTTTTCCGTTTTACAGACAGAAAAATAACACATGTGTCATAGTAATTGGATCAATACATACTTCTCTATACTCCAAATCCAAATCTCAATTTAAATAAACGCCGCCGTTTTTCACAGTAAAAATCCGTAACTTTCTTGCTACGATCAGAATTTAATATAATTGGTGCACAGTTTTATATGATACGAATTATCGTAATTATTGTGATGTTATGAAGTAGATACGAAGTAAATTTTTTTTTTTCCGTGATTTACAATAACTATTTATAGGTACGCAATTATTATAACACCCTCCCTAGTCATGGCGATCTACTTAATTTATAATATATCATTAAAACGCGTGGTTTCCCGCTGCAACGGTAATTGTGAAACGATGTTTAAATGTATATAACACTTTTACATTCTGGTAATGCTATTCATTTTTAAGAATAATCGAATTTCGTATCATTATTTTTACTGTTTTCGGAAAAAAAAAAAATTGCATATGACGATCATTGAGTGTTATAACGTAAAACCATGTTATAAAATCGACGGTGCGCGTTACAGTTATAATATCTTATCGCATCATTCATATTACGCTTTGACCGTAACATACTCGTATATTTTACAGTACAGAACCTACCTAAACGTATAATAGTGTTTATGAAATCGCAAAAAAAAAACAATTTTCGATAGATGATATTATCGTGAATCCGGGGGGCCGCATTTATTGAAATTATATACCTACGTTCAATAATATAATAGGCGAGTAGTGTGTCGAGGTCCGCGCAAATCGAGATCGCGGAAATGACGCGTGCCGATCGATATATTATTTATATGTCCATCACAACGGGTTTTTTTTTTTTTTATAAGTTCCCATTCCCGTATCATTCCCGCATTTTTATTCTAATCCTATCCAAATACCTTACATGGTTTTTCACGTTTACGTAAATTCTGTGTATACGCTATGAGTATAATAATGAGGGAATGGGACTTCATATACGCACTTAAAATCCTCAAAAGTTTAACGACGTTAAAAAAAAAAATAAAACCAAAAACAAAAGACGTTTAAACGTCTCTGTTATTAAACACGATTCTCTAACACCAAAATGATTAAACTTAAGTATTTTAAATTCTGAGAGGAGTGAGGAATGTATTTTTTTTACAATGATGTTTATTTGTTTATCTCTGAACAACTTTTCTACTAGAAAAAAAAATGCTCGCTCCGCTTTTCAAATGTGGCACTTTTTCTGAAAGGGAATCTAACTGGAGCGGTACTTTAGAGAGGTCTAATTTGATTTTCTCTGGGGTTTTCAATATAAATGCGGAAAAACGTGAGAAAACGGGAAAATGTACGAAACTCATTATTTTCGTAAATATTTCGGCCTTCAAAAACATGTATAATCACACAGAATATTTTTTCACCAGCAACAAATGATCATTGCGTACATTGAATGTCCCCGCTAACTTCTCAATTTCTCCCGTACAACAGCGGTCCAACCGTCGCGCGATGGTATGTCCGTTTGTTTTTCACGTCTTTCAATAATACGCACGGTTTTATTTTAAAAAAAAAATTACGCCGTGGTCATCATTTGTGTGAATGGGTATACCCGTGCCGCGTGTTGTATGCGAACCGTCGTTAATGTATTATTTTCGAGTCCGCGAGTCCAGTGTACAGCCCACAGTATTATTATAATATTCATAATGGCACCTCATTATTACGATATTATTTCTGGCGCGGCGCGATTTATCCGTTATCGTATTATTGTAATAATACACCCGGTGTTACGGCGGCGATCGATGGCAACGAACCGAGATGAAAAGATCCATATTATAACCTAATACACTCTACGTCCGTGATACTATTATTATTGTTGTACGCATAGGTACTTATCCTATACACGTACGCGCAGTATATGATTACGTACATTGTCGGTCGTGAAACGGTGTTGTTGTTTATCAATATCCGCATAGGCATGTGTGTTTTTTCGCGTGCACCTCCCGTGTAACATTATAGCATACTGCATGCGGATACTCGCAGTGTGTCGGCGTATTAACGCAGTATTATTATTGCATTGTTGTCCGAATGTATCGCGAGTAACGGAAAAAACACGTGTGTTTGATTTGAGCGTTTACAATAAGTTTAAGCACGTCATCGAGATTACCGCGGCCGCGAATTTTCGTAAATGTATCGAATTCCAATGCCGTAGCAGTATTATAATAGTATAATGCGCGTTAAATCGAGGCATACAACCGATTCCAAAAATATCGTTTTTTAGCCTCCTCCCCTCGCCCCCCCTCCACCGGTAGGAACTAGTGTTGTGCATGATTTTGGCCATTCCGGAATCCGGATTACAATTACATAGTCCGGATCCAATCCGTTCGTTTGTCTAACATGGGCTCGGCACTAAAAAACTAGATACCTAACATAGATACTATCAAACGAGACAATTTGAATCAGTTAAACGGATATTATGTTAAATTATTTAATTAAATATTGAATGATTTATATTATAATCCGGACTAATAAACATAATCCAGATGAAACGGATCGTCACGTTTGTTTCAATCCGGAGCGGATGGATCTGGATTTGATGCTTAGTATTAGTAGGAATGGAACAATTATTTATAATCAACATTCCAGCGAAGATATGTGTCATGAATGTGCCTATGTAGTATTCTGATTAGCCGTTGTTATAGCGGTAGCATTCAGAAACCAAAAGATCTACTTGGAAATTTCCCCGAACTCATTTTTTATTTCGTTCGGATTATAGTGGCCAGTTGATTTTTTTGGTGTTACTTATACCAGAAATCTTGCGATATAATATATCTGTAAACTCGACACGACACACGTCGTTGGAAATCTGTATTTCGGTTAATTTTTGATACGATGGTTACCAGTAGTCGGTTATTTATTAAGATCTGTGTTATTTTTTATTTTTAAACTACTTAACAGAAATCTTGTTTCGCAAAATGCCAAGAGATCTATTTTGTTGCGTTTCTGATCTAGTTGATGATTTAGAAATTCATACTTTAATTTTAATAATTAGATTGTATTTATTTTTAAATTTGTATAGTTCGAATAAACGATGTTAGCAGTGGAATAGTAATGTAAACACAGATTTTAAATGAAAAAAAAAAAAGTTTCTACCAGAAAAAAATTATTTAATCGAAAAATTGCATTATTTCTTTTTTTTGTTGCCTTCTTGAATTACTTTCTTACGGTATCATTGGCCATATTTTTGAGTTACTTTTGAGCTTTTAAGGAATTTTAATTTTTTAGAGTTTTTTTATTATAATTCGGTTATAAATACACGTAGAGACTTGAAACTTGGTAATAATACTTATATTGGATTTATCTAGACGTGGTAAAATTTTTAAAATCATCAGAAGACTTTTTTTTTTATTAATAAGCGTTTTGAAATCAAATTTAAATGAAAATCACAACAAAAAAAAAAAAAAAAAACACGGCACTTCAAATTATGTATTACCGGATTGAGCTCGGAATCGCCTTTCGTTAAGAAATGGTTTATGGTTGTCTACAAATATAAATGAAATAACCTTATGTATCACATCTTCCCAACTTCTCATTTTTTATAAGTGATGGTTTAAAATCAAATTTTTACAAAAACCAGTAAAATTACGGCATTTAAAAACATGTTTAACCGAAATTCGCTCAGAATCGTTTTTCGTTAGCAATCGTTTATTGTTCACACAGATATAAATTAAATAAATGTATGTATCCTATACCTTTCTGACTTTCCATCTACAACAGTGTCACAACCATTTTCATTATCTACAGTTTATTTTGTACATACTAATTTTTCAACTATTTTTAAACATTTAACCCGATCTTAATTCCAAACTCGTGGATTTTCACGCACTTTGGACATTTCATATGTTATTTGGCCTATACAATAATTTGAACTTAAATCGAACCGGCCAACTTTTCAGCTATACGAGGCCGTTCAACTTAAACGCCGTTATCGTCTCTGCGGATCATATTTTATGCATGTATACTTGTTTGAAACGCATAGAAGTGGTTCTTCTCGCGGTTTCGTCTCGGGGGATTCAACCACGACGACGACGTTTGGACGAGCATCGCGTCGCGTCACCGAAAACATGACTGTATACAGCTATTTGAAAATATTTCATCTTCGATTATTCGCGCCTTCTCCCTCACCCCCTCCCATCATTGCGGATTTTGCACAGTTATATGCAATATACTTACTTAGATAACATAGCCACACACACACACACACACACACCGTATATACAAAATAT